TCTTTTTTTCCCCCCAGTTTTTTGAGACAGTCTTGCTATACAGTTCAGGCTGGCCTTGGACTCATGACATAGCCCAGGCTGGACTCAAACTTACAGTGATCCTCCTGCCTCAGCTTTTCCAGTGCTGGGATTAAAGGCATGCACCACCATGCACCTACCTTCATATATAGTTTTATAGTTTGAAATGATGACAAAATAGATGCTCAATAAATATTCACTGAATAAACAAAACATCCTAAGTAATTCTGAACTGGGTAATTCTTCTCTAAGGCCATAATTAAATCTTAGAATTCTCTTCCATATCCCTTTAGGTAGTATTTCTTATACTAATTGAACTATACATAAAATTCACTTCTTGTAGACTATCTTGGTAGAAAGAATTGTCAGAAATAAATTTGAGTATCATTTCTTCTACTTAATAGCTATATGATAGTGATCAGGCTACTTAACTTCTTTAAGACTCAGTTTCTTCTTGAAAATGAAGTACCACTTACCTAATGGGAATGTTCTGAGAACTATTAATACACAGGCAGTCTTCACTTTGCACGCTTCCAGCACATAAAAATTTCAATTACCACAGTTTAAATATTGCTAATCCCTTAGCAACACAATTCAAATTGCAGTTAACATTATGTTTTTTGGATTTATTTTTATTTATTTATTTTTTAAATTTTCTTGTTTGTTTTGGTTTTTTTTAGACAGGATCTTGCCATATATAGTTCAGGCTGGCCTTGAACTTTATCAGGCTCCTGCCTCAGTCTCCCAAGCGCTGGAATTATAAGCGTGTGCCACCACACTTGACAAAACTATGTAGAAGAGGTAAGTAACTGAATATATTCTCCTTTTTGCTGCTAGATCTTCAGTCCACAAATCATTACTGAAACAAGAGAAGAACATCAAATAAGTGGTCAATCAACTGATTTCTGACAAAGTCTGTTACTGATGAGTCATTATATATCTGTTATTCAGTTCTTGTACAGGGAATAAAACATGTATTGCCTCCTTGTCTCCTGGTGATAAATTTAAATGACATTTTACAAAAATAAATACTAGAAAGTGGGAACTGATAAACACTAATAAAAGGACAGCGGAGAACAAAAACTGATAATGTTAGATGTGAAATTCCAACAAATGTATACAGAGTTTTAGAAGAAATAGCTGACCTTGGAAATAGTGATACTGTTATCTCTTAAGAGACTCTAGAAAGGCAGCCTGAGGATTTAATGAAGATAAACTTAACAACATAAATGAACACAGCAATTCTGACAAAAAGGATGATGTCCCACAAGAACTGATACTGGCAAAAACCTCCAAATTAAAGGAACTCTTGGAGATATTTCATAATATTGAAAGTATAGCAAATAAAATGTTGAAACTGATCCAAACTTAGAAAAGATTTGCCAAGGCACACGGAAGATACTCATTCCATGCTATAAACTATATGATGAGAAGGAAAGCACTGTTCAGATTGCTTTTGTAAGTTATTTTACAAAGAGGTAAAACACTTCCAATTCTTGACATTTAAAATATTTGTAACCAACTGTAAGAGATTTACAATGTTTGACAGAAATTTTAAAAGTTACAAAATAATTGTAACTTTTCCTATTAATTAAGATGGCTTTGCCTAGTTTTTAACTAGTGTGGTCATTTGTATGATTCCCATACTACCAAACAAAATGAGGAATGCCTGTATCTGTAATTTCTGGCACATCAAAAAGCTATTATATCATAACTCAACCTTTTCCCCTGGTTCTTACATCTGCTCAAACAAAAATGAATTTCAATCGATGTTGAAGGAGCCTAAAAAGATTTTTCAGGTGCTGAAAGTGACAGAGAACCACATCTGAACTTGCAGTTCCCCAAACTCATTAATCAAAATATATACAACTTAATGCTGACAGATAGTTGAATAACTTGAAGAGTTATTCAATTTATCTGTTGTGATAGTACAGGATTTTAGGATTCTCTGTCCCTCATTCATTGAACACAGGGGCAAAACAATGAACATGTGGTAAAATTAATAACAGGGAGGCAATATAGAACAACTTTATAGTCAGGTGAATATTACCTCTATACCACTTATTACAACCTTAGGAAATCTGTGAAATGGGAATAATAATCCCTTCTTTTTGAAATTATTGTAAAGATCAAGAGACAAGATACGTGAAGCGATTAGCAAATTGTGGCACAGAGTCAGCACTTAGGTAATAACTGTTATTAGCCTTAATATAACTATTATTAATACTATCATTAACCTAATAACAACAATAAATCTTCATTATTTAACACACATTCTAAACATATTAATCTGAATATTTTTGAAAGATCAAATTCTTTTACTCTATCTAAGTCATTACAGACACCCAGGACTCGCTATGGTTAGACAACCTGACCTCAACTTCCTCTAGATCGTTTTGTCCCAAGGTATATGCACAAAGAGCTGCCAATATATTCGCTCACTGTTCCTGCAACCCCTCTGATTCCTATGTTAAAGTCTTCTGCAGTATTCTCGGAGTTCCTCTTCTGAGGACACTGAGAACTAAAGCCATTTCCCATTTCTCGGAGCTATCTGCCAGAACACTAATATCTTGCTCTCTTGTAGTCCACATGACTCAACTGCCAGTTTTCTTTTTTGATTCTAATCCAAAATTTTGTTTATTTATTTATTTTTTTGGTTTTTCTTCGGTACCGGGAACTGAACTCACGACCTTGCGCTTGCGAAGCAGGCGCTTTTGCCGCTGAGCTAAATCCCCAGCCCCCTAATCCAAAATTTTGGTTCTAAACTGAGTCATTATTACCTGTGTAGATAGATAAAACTGCAAGGCATCTAAAGATTAACTATGGCATGTTCCTTTTCCCTGCTAAACAATTAATTCCTCATAAAGTGAGCACTGTCTGCTTTAACACTTTTGGTGACAGAAAGCCTGCTTAACACCCAAGCCAACCTGTTCCATGATGATCGCTGATTAGAAAGTTTTTCCTTATACTGAAGCAAAACCTTCTCCCTTACAATTAATTTCCTCCATCTACTGCCCTTAGAGAAATTGAGAATATTCTAGAGAACTTCCAGGTTCTAGAGAAACTGAAAAGCTTAACTACTTTTATGATAGCCTATTCAATATTTGAAGACTCCTAAATAAGAGGAAAAAGAAATTACACATTTCCAGCTCAAACAGCATGATTTTAAGTCCTCTCTCTCTCATGGTCATGCCTCTCTGGACTAGGTGTGGACTTGACAAATTGATCTAACAACAAACTGATAAACTACTTCCTTTGCCAATATTCAGACTGCCAAGTAATCACACTACACACGATCCTTTTGCTCTTATTTCTCCATTATGATACAAAATTAGTTTAAACTAGTAGCTCAGAAAAAGTGACTCTCAGCCTAAATCATGGTCTCAAGAGAATGGTACTAAGAGTCTTGCAAAAAGAACTCTGTTCTGTTTTTTAAACTTGGCCAATTACTAGAACAGAATAAAGTAGGATCATCTGGCATGAAACTCTTATCTCTTTTTTACCAAACCAAACACACATAGATTGGAGAAGGATTCAACAATGGGAAAGTTAGTTAAAAGAAAGTTTTGCCTCATGTCCTCTGAAAGTGGATCCATTTAAAAGAAAGCAGTAATAGTGAAAGAATATTCTCTAAATCTTGTCAGAAGCAGGTACCTTCAAGTAGGATCAAACATTATGCTTTCAAAACTTGACCAAAGCAAACAAGGGAAAAAGAAGTGGCAGATTTCTCCTAGCTTTGATGGAACAATCACCTAGGAACACGAACACACACACACACACACACACACACACACACACCCTCTCTCACACACACACCCTCTCTCACACACACACACACACACACACACACACACACACCCACCCACCCCTGGCCAGGCCAGCAGTGCCTGCCTGTCAGGACCGTAACTAGATCTAAAACTGTAAGTACTCAGAAGGTGCATTCTGGAAGAATGTGTCCTCAGATGATCATTAACTCCTAGGAAGTCAGATAAGACACAGCGTGCAGCAGGCGCAGGGACTAGGTCCCTCATTCTCTTGGAAGCCTGGCACGAGGAAGAAGGTAGCTCAGCTGCTCTGCCTTCTACTTCTGGTGCAAAATGACAGTTGGATAGGCTTACTCAGAGCGCAGATGATCGGTGGTACCTGAAGACTCGGGGATGGGGTTGGGGGGTGTCGAGCCTCAGAAAAGGTAAAACTCTTCCCTAATGAAGAGCGAGGAGGTCTAATAAGCATAAAGAGGAAGAGAAAGAAAGACCTTAGGGTTCTCTCCGACTTGGAGGAAGATGCAGCTCGGAAGTGCCCCTTCTCCCAAGCCCTCCGGGGAGGTGGTGGACAGCACAGCAGGTGTCCTGGGCCCTCATTCTAAGGGCAGGGCCCTCCGCCCCCGCTTTCTCAGGCTCCCCTCCCCGCCACCAGCCCCCTCCCCGCTCAGGTAGGAATTCCTGGTCCCAGCCCAGCTCCCAGCCCAGCTCCCCCGCTTTCTCGGGTCCAGCAGCAGCTCCCCACTTCCCTTCTGCCCCAAATGAAGGCCCCCCGCCGCCAGTCCAGACCCCTAGGGTCCTCGCCTGACCCCCGGCACCCCTTGGTCCGCGCCCCGCGGCCCCGCGGCCCCGCACGCCCCCCTCCGCTCCCCGGCCGGGCCTGGTGCCTCCCCTCGAGGCCAAGCTCGCCCTCCGCCTCCTCCACACCGCGTCTCCCCACAACCCGGCGCCCTCGCTCCCCGCCTCAGGCCACACTCACAGAACTCGGCGATGTACCGGGTCACGGCGTAGTTCTCCTCGCACCAGTCCAGCGTGGAGGTCGTGGGACCCCAGTAGCCCTCCCGGTCCACTGCCGGAGCCATCGCGCCGCCGTCCCTGGCCCCGCCGCCGCCCTGAGCTGCGCTCGGCTTGGCAGCTCCCAGGCCGGC